TGGTGGAGGAGCAGGGCCAGCTGGAGGAGGAGGAGACGGAGACTGTGACCCTGTCCCTGGAGCCGGTGTCTGTGAGCAAGGACGTCTCCCAGGCCTCTTCAGACTCCGGGGAGGGATTGTCAGGTGAGTGAACTTAGTTTGTCACACACACAGGGCGGGGGAGGCTGGCGCACAGGGGGTAGGGTTGCCAGGTGTCCGGTATTCACCTGCACAGTCCGGTATTTTCGCCTCCTGTCCGGTAAAAAAAATTCAGAGAATACCGGACACCTGAGATGTCTGGTATTTTCTGAATTTTTTCCCGGCCAGGAGGCTAAAATGCCGGGCACCTGGAAATTCTACAAACACTCAGCGCCAGGCCTCTCCTCCCCTCTCCCCAAGTGCTCTCTAGTCCCCAACACTCCCAGCCCCCTGACCTCAGCCCCCATGCTTAACTGGTTCCCCAAGCCTGCCGGCACAAAATGGCTGCCTGCCAAAAGACCTAGGGGAAGCAATGCTTTCTCCTGGGTCTTAGTGCTCAGCCGCTCCCCGGTTCCTATCCCTGCACTCACTCTCAAAGGGGACATGCTGTTTTAATGCTGTTTTATTTTATTTTAATTTTTTTGGCTTAATAAGTCCTTAGACTTTTTTTTTTTTTAATTTTGCTCAACAACTTTGGTCTCTTCCCCCTCCCTTTTTCCCCCCCTTCAACAGAATTTTTTCCCGGTGTTTTTTGGGGTTTTTTTTGGGAGGGGGGAGGGGGGTTTTGGTATTTTTGTTTCAACCATCTAGCAACTCTAACAGGGGTTGGGTGCTAATGTCGCTCGGGCTGGACATTGTGCTGTGATCCATGCATGTGGAACCACATGCAGTGTTAGTTTGCGGCATGAGGACGCAGCCCCTGAGCATGGGTGGGATCCAGCTGCCAGACTCAGGAAAGGCCACACATGTCCTGCCACCAGGAAGGGGGAGGAGGGAGAGCACCCCCTCCCAGCACCTGCCACGGCTGGAAGCAGGCTAGGGTCGGGCCAGGGTCAGGAGGTTGGGAAGTGGGTAACACGGTCCCCTGTGAGGCATGTCCCACTGCGTAGGCCACACATGGCCTTACTCACGGGACATCCCCCTCCTCTGCCCCGATCTCACTGTGGCCAGACACTTCCCTTGCCTGCTTGTTCACGGGTCAAGGAGGGGAGGGGGTTGGAAAGCAGGCAGCACAGTCCCTGGCACCTCAGGGCCCCTGTGAGGCATGGCCCACTGTGCAGGCCACATGTGGCCTTGCTCCTGGGACATCCCCCTCCTCTGACCTGAGAACTGTTGGTCACTGCTCACAGTGCAAGGCACAGCCTTAGGGACAGTGTCTGCATGGATGACTGACTCCCTCTCCCTCTTTGCGTTCTCCACAGCTGGACCAGCTGGGACTGAGGGCCGAGACGCACCACCAGAGCCAGACCCCACAGCCCAGGGGACTAGAAGGCATGCCAGGGTCCAGGAAGACCTCATGTGCCAGCATGTCAGCATCCTGCACAACATGCAGCAGACCCTGGTGAAGAAGGTCCTAGAGGGCTCTGAGTGGTAGAACCATGCATGGGACCAGCTCATACAGCGGTGTGATAACATGTGTGCCATCATGTCATGCATGATGGCACATCCGCCTGCTTTCGCTGTTCCTGGCTTCCACCCTCCTGCCCCCCCTATTATGCCCATTCCTCCTTTGCCTCCTCCCCAGGTGATGCCTGTGCCCCCTCCTGCTGCCCCCCTACCATCCCTGACCTCGCTTCAGCCCCCCATCCTGCTCATCCCCTTGTGGTCCCCAGATCCACAAGAACCCAACTCCAGCGAGGTCCCCGCGCCCTAGGTGGCACATCTAGCAGCCCCTCCCCCTCCAGGTTATGACCCCCTCTCCCTGCCCACCTTTTCTTAATGTAAGATAAATACAGACTTCATTTTCTGGAAACCAAACAGATGTGTTTATTGAGAGGTCAGGGAAGGGGCAAAGGAAGGGGTTGTGCTGGGGAAGGGATAGAGCCACAAGCCAGAGGCCCCGTTGGGGAGGCGCTGGGGAGAGCTACTGGGGTCCTGGAGAGAACCTTTCCCTCAGGACCTCACGGGTACATCTCGCCCCTCGCGGCCATTGTCTGCTTCCCACCCTGGGAGGAAGGCCTCCCCCTTCCTCTCCACAGTGTTTTAGAGGACACAACATTCCACGACCACCTCAAGGATGTTGTGCTCCCCCACGTCCAGGCAGGTCAGGAAGCACCTGAACCATGCCTTGAGGCAGCTAAAGGCTCACCTGACCTGGATCCAGGCCTGGTTCAGGCAGGCATTAAATTGGTCCCTGCTAGGGTTCAGGTGGCCAGTATATAGTTTCATAAGCCATGGCATGAGGGGGTAGGCTGCACAGTGGCATCTGCATATCCCCAACTATAACGTCATGGTGGGGGAAGAATGTACCCGCCTGCAGCTTGTCGTAGAGGCTCGAGTTTCTAAAGATGTGGGCATCATGCGCCCTGCCCGACTACCTGACAAAAATGTCGATGCAGTGTCTACGGTCATCGACCATGGCCTGCAGCACCATGAAGAAGTAGCCCTTCCTATTAATATACTGGGCCACTCGATGTTCTGGTGCTCGGATCAGGATGTGGGTCCCATCTATGACTCCAGAGTAGTGGAACCCCAGGGTGGCAAATCCGGCCATCATCAGGTCCAGGTCTCCCAGACGGATGATCCTCCACAGCAGGATAGAGTTGATGGCCCTCCCCACCTGCAGAAGGAGACACACAAACACAGAAAACAGAGAATGAGAAAGGGAGTACCTGTGCCCTTGGGAGGTGCCCATCCCCCTCTCCTCCCCTCTTAGCTTGCCGTAGAGGCTCGAGTTTCTAAAGATGTGGGCATCATGCGCCCTGCCCGACTACCTGACAAAAATGTCGATGCAGTGTCTACGGTCATCGACCATGGCCTGCAGCACCATGAAGAAGTAGCCCTTCCTATTAATATACTGGGCCACTCGATGTTCTGGTGCTCGGATCAGGATGTGGGTCCCATCTATGACTCCAGAGTAGTGGAACCCCAGGGTGGCAAATCCGGCCATCATCAGGTCCAGGTCTCCCAGACGGATGATCCTCCACAGCAGGATAGAGTTGATGGCCCTCCCCACCTGCAGAAGTGGGGTGGCCAGCTTTCAGAGGGCGATTGCGACCCACTTCTGCAGGGGGTGGCAGGCCACAGGTGGGTGTCATGTCTCTGGAGGGCAGGGGCGAGCCAGGCACAGAGCTCCAAAAAGGTGGCCTTTTTCATGCAGAAGCTTTGGAGCCATTGCTGGTCATCCCACCACGCCATGACCAGCCAGTCCCACCAGTCGGAACTGATGTTGAGCCTCCAGAAATGCCTCTCCATTGTGGGGTGCGGTTGTCAGAGTGTAGCTCCCGCACCCAGGGAGAGGGCCCCTAGAATGAGCTTGGGGTCCAGCTCGTGCAGGACCAAGAAGGCAGCTGGCACAAAGTGCTGAAAAATCTACAGCATGGCCGCGTGGGGCCATCGTATGCAAGCTTCACTGATCCACTAGAGTCCCCTATGAGGGGTAGTCCACTGACTGCTATTGCAGGTATTGATAGAGGGGAGCATACATCCTCACATCTCACACAGACATAAGGTGTTAGCAGTAGCTGTTAAATGAAATCCTGGGTATGTCCACACTGCAGAGTTTTTCCAGAAAAAGGGCCAGTGTTTTTTCAAAAGAAGAGGCTTCCAGGAAAAAGCACAGGTGGCCACTCTGTCCATAGTAATCACAACTCAAAAGCGAGATAGCGTCCAATCAATGTGGATGCTATCTTTCAAAAAAGCAGATCGCTTTTTCGATGCACTTTTGCTGTGTGGACACTCTCTTTCTGGAAAAGCTTCTTCTGAAAGAAGCCTGTAGTCTAGACATAGCCCCAGAAAGTCGATGGGAGGCTGATAGCTCATCAGAATACATGTCTGAACACCTTTTTGCAACTGCATCACTTCAGGTATCACAAGGAAGTTGTGCATTTCACAGATCTTCATATCATACAAAGCCTGCACTTCTCTGCTGACTTCTGAATCACCACTGTGGTCACAGTTTCAGTCTGGTAAGAAAACTCTCTTACATGAGCATTGCTCTAAGATACAGCCAGCTGATGATGAAGATGCCTAACCTAGTGCTTGGCCCGTGCACTTGCTTTAGAGACTTTGGTGCTCCTTGGATGGTGGGTTCAAATTAAAAAGCAGTAAGGAATTCGGTGGTCACTTTCCACAACAGACATACCCTAGGAACACTGCTACTTGGACCTCACTTTTCTTCAAAATCTGCCTTTAACTGTGCACCCACTTTCCTGTGTTCTCAGCACTAGGGTGAGAAGCAGCACTTTTTCCTCCAACTCCATACCTGGATCACTAGCATTCTGGTGTCAGACTCACTCCTCTCATACACTTTCCCCCTTGGCCCTCACTCTGAACTTGGGATGAAAAAACTGGGTCCCTGCTTACATAAACACAATAACAGAACATCTGCTGGACTTTAAAAGGGTATTTTAAGAGTGTCCTGGTTATCTTCAAGATGCTGCTGCATTTTTAATTCCAAAATTTGAAAATAAAACCCAAATTTAGTTCAAAATCTCCATAGTCCTGAGCCGTCAAGATAAACTATCCCTTTTTGGAATTAAGACGTTTCCACTTGACAACAGAATCTCTTTGGAAAGAAATGGCGCTCAAGGGAAGTGTCATGTGACTTAAGGCTATATCAACCTCTTCAGAAAAGCCAGTTCTTTACTGTAAAATGTCAACATTAGAGAACTCTCAAAGAAAAGCTGTCACCCCACTCACAAGGTGCACCCAGCTGAGATCAAAGCAATCTTTCGCCAGGGCCTGATTGTGCACCCACTGAAATTACACCTGTGACTTCACTGGAAACAGAATCAGACCCCTAAACCTGTAAAAAGATTGTTTAATGCTAACAACAAACAAGTCATACAGTGTTTGAACTTCAGTTTGAAGACAAGACTCACCACTTCTTCGATTTCAACCGTGGGGCTGGATTCCGGGGGATGAGGAACAGAGCTCTCATGGGATGCATGTCACAAAGGGCTAAAAGGTACAACATGATACATTAGGTACGGCAGGGAGGGCTGTCCTCATGGGGAAGAGAGGTATGAGGCCTGGGGCAACCCCTCCAAAGCACGCCCCATCCTGTCTGCTCTGTTTGGCCCCCTCCACCAGTTCCCCAAGCCCTGCCCAGGCTCCAACTCTTCCTGTCCCCATTGCACCCCTTTCCCCAAACCTTCTCCTCACAAGATGCGACCCAGGGAATTACCAGGGGGTGTAGCAGGGGTTAGACCCCCCCCCCGCACTCATCATGGTGGATCAGCCCAACAGCCTGCACCGTTTCACTCCCACTACTCATCTGCCAGTCCGCTCCAAAGGGCTTGAGCGAAGTAGGCTGGGAGATGGGCAGTGGGGCAGAGCAGGCTCTCTGCTGCTGCTCATGCTGCTCCCTGTGCATGCCAACTCCTGCCCCCCAGGTAATACCCCAGGACATCCTGGGCCTCATGGCTAACGTGGGGACCACCCCATTTATAGGACAGTTGCAGCAGCCACGGTGGGGGCCCCTAAAGTGCAGAGCCTGGGGCAGCCACCCTGAACCATCCTATGGACAGGATGACCCTAAACGGCAGGAAGCAGAAAAAGTTGCTCCCTGTGCATGCCAACTCCTGCCCCCCAGGTAATACCCCAGGACATCCTGGGCCTCATGGCTAACGTGGGGACCACCCCATTTATAGGACAGTTGCAGCAGCCACGGTGGGGGCCCCTAAAGTGCAGAGCCTGGGGCAGCCACCCTGAACCATCCTATGGACAGGATGACCCTAAACGGCAGGAAGCAGAAAAAGTACTGAGCATTTCACAGATAAAGCATATGTGAGGGGCAAGTGGAGAGCCTAGAGATAGAATGTCTCTGAAGTTACAAGAACTCCAAAAAAATACCACTGCAAGGTGGGGATTTGAATAGATGCTCAAGAGTCCCTTTCCAGTCCAGTGGTAGGATTCCAGAAATGGGCCGGAGCTGCAGAGCTTGGATCAAGCTCTGAATTCCCCCAAGCTTTGGGGTATCTTTACCAGGCATTTTGGTTCGGAGTTAGGCGCTAGCTCTGAAGGAAGTGTACCTGCAGCTTTGCATTTAAGTGCACTGACAGACACTGGTGCAGGCAACAGCTCGTATATGAGCTGTGCTTCAAAGCCATTCCATATGCATCTGGGATCTCTGCCCTGGTTACTTTTAAAAAACAAGGTCCTAGCTTAAAACTGATTGGAGTCTTCACAGGCTTACAAACTACCTAAATGCTAGGGATGTGAAGGACTAGTCGACTATCCGATAAACAAATGCTTATCGGATAAACGACTAGTCGCTTCCCTCCCCCCT